ATGAAAATGATGCAAACAATTAAAGAAATGTTGCAAATCAAGTACATTAAAATTTAAGTAAATACAAATACTATCCATAAATAATATTATTGTATATTAATTGTTATTTCAATTGAATTGTATTTATATTTTGTCATGATCTTTGTACAGAGAGCCCGTAATATATTTGAATAATAAAAAACCGTATAAGCATGCATATAATTGTTGCTCGGAGTGTCAATTGATGTGAAAACCAGATTGATGTTTAAAATTTTAATTGAAACATTATGAAATTTCAAATTTTAATTCTAAGTTCTAAGTTTTCACTTCTATTGGCAGTCTCTATAACTGCCATTTTTTATATGACAATCCCATGGGGTCACTGGTAATTATTAAGTTTATTATATCAGTATAAATATAGATTTTATTTTTAGTTATGTCAGAGTGGTTTTTGTTTGTATACTTTCAGTAAATTAACAATTTTCTTAAAAAATCTTTTTTTTTTCGACTTTTCAATATGCTTACTCCTTCTTAGGAGGGTGCTCCCTACATTTTGAGAGACGCTGCTCTAAGCAGTAGTTTTTATTTAATGAACTGATTTAAGAAAACTGATAGCAGTGCTTTTCATACTTTCAATATTGACGTTCTAATATTCAACCAGAATTTTCATTGCACCCTCCCTCCTTCCATACTATTAACAGTGCATTGAATTCAATAATACTATACTTCGGCATTAAAGCTGCAATACGACTTTAAGCTCTTAAATACCACCGGCGTATATAAACGTCTCGCCCAGCCAAATCATTAATTACTCCGAACGCATATATACGTCTTTCTTAAGTGCGATCTTTTCTTACCACTGCTATCCATAAAGATTTTCCGGCTTTGGAATGCAATAAACTGACCCTGACAGTTATTGTGAAGGATTTACTCAATTTAGAGGATTTGCTTATTTATTCCTTTTCATCCCCCTAATTCATCACATATGCTTGACTATGAGGAAAGCGGGGCATTGGGGAAGCTTACTTTAATCGACAGTTAAAGGATTAATTATAAACTGTGCAATTTATCAAGATAAGTGTTAATTTTTGTATATAATTTTATGTATGACAAATCCATGGGGTCACTGCTAATTATTAAGCTTGTTCTTAACTTAGTATTGCTAATTTCATTATGAAATAAAATGTACAATACGGATATATTAATATGTGTATTATATCAGCGCAAATGTTAATTTTATTTTTTATTATGTCAGAATGTGCATTTGTTTGTTTACTTTATATTTTTTCAGGTGATCAAACACATGGAAGTCTCAGGGTGACATCTCCATGTTGTAGGGTGGAGGGTTAGACTGCTCCCACTTAAGCTTATCCAGCTCCGCGTGCGTGACCCTGGAGACGTGTGGAAGTTATACTCTCCGTGTCGATGAACAGCGGCTTGTTTAACACCTTTCACTGTTGGAAATCAGATAACGTTTCACTGCTCCTCAATCGTCAAATTTTGCAATGTTAACGCTATCGTCAACAAACGCCTTGCAGCGTGTATTCGACTGTGCTATTTATAAGAGTCTATGCTCTCTCCTGCGCATGCTCTAATCCCCATAGGAGATTTCATTCCCATCACCAAATGTTTCGCTACGTTCTCCCAAAGGGGTGTATGCAAATATGTTAAGAGTTTCGTTGTTAAGACGTTTCCTACCTTTTCGTTTGAACATCCCTTGTATTCGCATCCTCAGAAATGGGACGAAATACTTTGCTCAGCATTACATACTGTTAAATTATATCTATCTTGATACAGTATTTATTAATAACAATCCAAAATGTTTACTACGCGCATAAATAAGTATCAAAAAGTTCAAAGAATTGCATGTCTTTCATTTTTCCTATTGACTGTTCTACATACGATGGTTCATCAGTGCATTTGAAAGAAAAAGTAATTTCCATTAATAGTCTGTCTCTATTTCAATGTCATTTTATTACTAATTCTAAAGTACAAATTATATCTATAATTATCGTAATTTTCTGATAGATTACCAATTTTCTAAAAAAAACAACTTAAAGCTAATCACTGTAAAATTCATAGAAATGTTTTCTGACAAAACTCTATGTCACTTATGTTAAACCACAAAAACCGTAGTAATTAATTTTGAGAGTATTTTATTTCATAAGAAAGAAATTAAATTCCGGAGTCTTTATAAATTTGTTAAAAAAAGCATGTTTTTAATATTTTTTTCTAAAGTGCATTTCATAATGAATACAAAGCTCAGTTTACTGCAAATGCTTAAAAATAAATGTTGAATGCTGTCTCAAATGGTGTGTTATTAATTCTGAAATCTGACAATTCCTATCAAAATAGTTTTAAATTAAAGGGATGAAAAAATAATTGTTTTTCTACTTTGTTTAAATTTACACTCGTTTTTCTAGTTCTTTTTGTTCGATAAATATTTATTTTCGGTAAGCTGAGTCACAAAAACAACTATTATACTGAAATTTATTTTTGGCTCCTCCACATTTTGAGAATA